CTGCTGTATTGCATAAATGATAAGCCTCCGGTCACTAGGTGGCAGCAGCTCATACAGTGGTTTGTACAGATAACAATATACACAGGTATATCAGGTTTTCAATAGCAGGTCGGAGGGGTATGGGTGGGCGTGAAAACATGTATGGGGGGGTGCGTGAAAGAAAATAATTAAGAACTGGTTTAGGCTAATGCAATGCTATGACAGCTAATCCTAACCCTTTGTCTAATATGACCCTGATTATAATCCTGACTACAAACCAAATCTTGAATGTCTAAAGCCCTGTGACTTTGTAGGGACCCACCAGGGTAAAGTGTCCTCACCACAATGGTATTTTTCACACACACTCTCCCTTAAGGTGTAGCTACACACACACCTCCAACGCTTGACAGACATTAAAGATTTTAATCTGTTCATGAAACGAATTCCAGAGAAGAGAAGCATGTTTGAGGGCAGGGGTGTCAAACTCATTTTCACTGGAGGCCACGTCAGAATTACAGCTGTCCTGGTCTGGTTGTAACTGGAAGACTTTATAGATGTAACTACTTCATAACATATTAATTAACCTTTCTGCAATTGATTATTAATGATCAAAGTTACAAATATTGTACGTTGATCTATAAAAAAACTTAAAATTACAGCAATTAGACGACAGTCACAGATATCTCAGTACATGAGTCAGGTTTGGGTGACGTTGGTGAGCTGATGCTGCTTGTCCTTCAACAAAGAGTAGCATTTCTTCATCATGAAATCCATTGTCATAGTTGTAGTTTATGGTCAGTATATACTCTCTGAAGCAGCAGTGACTTCATTGTAAGGAATTTAAACGCTTCTTAGGCTCCCATGGTCCACATAAAATTAGTTGGTGAGCTGCATTCGGCCCGCCAGCCTCGTATTTGTCACGTAACACCGCAGAATACGACCACAGATGGACGATAGAACCTTCCCCTAAAACCAATATAGTAGGAGTTAGTGGTTTCTACCACAGGTTTCATAGACTGTTAGCGGATGTATTCCTGGGCATTGCACTTAACTGCAGGTTGCTATTGTTAGTTTTGCCAGCACTATGTGGATGTAAATGTGCAATGAGTGGCAGTCAAAGCCTGAGTGTGTGAGTGAACTGTTGACTGGAAAATTCTATAACTAAACACCAAGAGTTAACAAAGGGTTATAGAACATTAACACTTATTTACAATATAAAAAAGAGAAAAACAAGCCAGCATTTGTTCATGTCTGTCCTTTAAAATTAATGTCACTAGAAGGTACTGTGAAATCATGACTAAGAGGTAACAAACAGTAGAGCAGTCTCTGCCTGGTTGACTATCACATGCTAGCATCTGCCTTAGGTTATATGATTAACTTCAGTGTGGAAGACTGGTTATGTTATTTACCTTTCTAATAATAAAAATACAGGAAAGGATGACTATGGAACTATGACTGATGTGATAATCCCGTAAAATCCAACGGGAACAGCCAAAAGTGTTAGCAACAGCAGCAGCAGTCACAGTAGCAGGAGTTAACTGTTACAACACACACAAAACACAATGATCTCAGTGTGACAATATGTGATCACAGTAAAAAAAGCCACTGACTCTGTGCCATACAAACTAAGCTACTCCTGGTGTTTACACACCAAGTGAAAGTGGAACATTTATCCAAACACTGAAAGGTAATCTAACCTACGCAAGAAAATCAAATTAGGCTGGAGCCAGCAGTTAGCTCAGCCCAGTGGTGGTGTTTATATGAGGTCTGCTCAGCTGGAATGAAAGCAAAACCTCTGTTGGTGATGTTATTAGGCCGCATGTAAACACACTCACTTACCTAGTGAAAGGCCCCCTCATCCAGTGGGTCACACAGGAGTTAACTGTGGTCATTAAACATGTACCAGGAGAGAATGCGGTGTTTCCTTGGAGATGACTGGTAGGAAGCAGAATCTGGACATTTGTGCTGTTTTTGATTAAATACTACAGTACAATCATTTTAGGCTTCATTTTCCATATCTTTTCTGAGTATCCCATAGTAGGTTTGAACACTTTATAAACATTTATATGTCATTTTGGACTGTTTTCTAAGACTGAGGTTTTGCTGCTCACCTTGGGGACTATGTGTAAAGCAAGGGTCCCAAACTTCCCCATGCCATGCCCCATGCCCCTCCAAACAGCATCAGCCGGCAGCCAGGGACCCTGTTTGAAAACCCACAGACAATTTTTTACTTTTATTCACTATTCAATAATTATTACATTTGTTTAGCATTAGGAAATGACAAACTGCCAGATCTACTGAAGGCACCACCAGAAACGTGAGAATCCAACAATTATGAGCATTTACGCTTGTTCATGTACATTCAGGGGAAATGCTTTTAATTAGAAATGGTCCTTGCCTCTTCCTGGTTGAAATGTTTAAAAATACAGCGAGATATACATACACTAGTAAACTGGCCACCATGGTTTGCAGACACCAACTGTCAATCATCATTTATGACCAACACCAAATTTAATTTTTTATGAGGACCAACCAGGTAAAAACTACAAATATAGTTGGGTCTTACGAGTGTGCAGACTAAAACATGTAAACAAAACACATGTCCAGTAATATAAATCAGTAGGACTGTATATTGGCAAACTTTCTTTAGTTCCGTCACAAACCATCACATATTTCTTTCACTGATTATCGAAGTAAAGGAAAAATACAAGTTCTCAATTTTAGTGAGCAGGTCTGAATAAAACATTGTCTTTTTAATACTTCACACGTCATTCTGCACAGATTTTTCACGTTACTACCTCTGGAGGAACCTATTCTGTTTACCTGGCCTTGGAGCAGCAGTAAAACTGTAAAACGTCGGTACATCATATACTATGTCTGTTGTGGAACATCCTGTCTCACTTCTGCCCTCAGGACACAACTACCATTGTAGGTAAACACATTATTGTCCCCACAAAGTGATGATTACCAGACACAAACATCCGCACACATGTAGACACACACCTCACTTCAATAACACCGACTCGCAGGCCCCGCCCCTTTCTCAAAGAGGAGCCAATTGCGTTTCGCTAAGAAGGCGAGCCTTCGCGGGCCGACCCTCTCATTTGTATGTTTTAATATGGACAGCCTTCATCACGTGACTGTAAAGCGAACCAGCAGAGAGAGGGAGAGAGAGTATGTTCGACGGAGAGTGAGAGTGTGTGTAGCGTGTGTCAGTGTGTGTCTGTGTACAGTTATGCTAAGACCGTGGCGTGCGCTGCTGTTGCCATTACGCACTATTACGCACTGACAGCTACTTCGAAGAAAGGAGCTCTGCACACAGTGGAGCGGGATTTTGGATTCCTCTAATACACGGGTATGTGCTGGAGGAACAAGAAGCTTCTCACTATGTTTTATTGGTCTTTATTGCTACAGCATGGCGTATGTTTTTGCTCCACTTGAGTGCAGTCTGCTTTTTTTCAACCCAGTAGGAAATCTAACTTCTACCGATTAGAGTCCATATCATGTTTAACTTCCTGTGGGTCCTGTTTGATATTCTGCGGTTGAACTCTGGATGTCACAGTTCAACGTTACCAACAGCCATAACGAGAGCCTGTCATTTCTGATGTTTTTCCATAGCGGCAGGGTTACTGTAGGGCAAATTCGAGACCAGATTAAGACAAGAGGTCTAGAGGTTTTCTTATTTATTTATTTAGTTTTTAACATTTGCAAAATACAGCAGAACCCTGTCATTTGACATATTATAAACAGTAACTTACACAATTTACTCAAAATGTTATTGAAAGATATTTTGGGTTTTGTAGACATGTTTTTCTACACGAACTGTGTATTTAAAACATATTTCGTGCAGTTTAATCTTTTTATTTTATTTAGTATAAAACTATCATTATTTAACGGCGACGGTATGGGTCAAATATTTCCCCAAAGTGCTGCTCCTCACTTTCACACAAGAGGGCGCACACACGTTTTGTTCCTACTCTTTTCCTCCTTTAAACACACGTTGCCTTATGGAGTTTTTAAAATAGATATGAAACAAACATTAAAAGGTCATTAATTTTATTACACGTTCCATCATGTAGCGTACACTCAGAGTAGAGACGGTGCATTGTGTCTGTGCCGTTGGACTGATGGACATAAATGAGTGAGCCCTTCATTCATCATCCAGCTGAAATCTGCTATCTTATTCCCACCGGCTGCAGCCATTGTGTTTGCTCTGTCCGTGCACTTGAAGAGTTGGCTCTCTGTTTTCACCTTTCCTTTTCAGTATATCTGCATGTAAACACTGTGACGCGTCAGGATTATTCAGCCTTCAGACTTAGCTGTGTTTTAGATCACAAGAGTTAAAGAAAGACGGCGTGAAACACATGTTAGAAGTGGTGAGAAATGGAAACCCCTGATACCACATGGTCAGCGTGAAGTCTGAACCAGCAGCAGCTGCAGCGTCCAAACACACACACACAGAGACACACTCAAACTTTGGGAGAGAGTGAGGGAGACTTCAAATTCCTTCACACATGGCCAGCCTGCCTTCTGAAGAGTCATCTACTGCAAATCTTTTGAGCGATAGTGCAAAGACAGCCGGTGTTATTAGTTTACAGTCTGCAGGTTGACCTGTTTTAAAGAAACATCTTTATGGACTGCAGAGTTAAACGTTAACCTCGGAGATTAACTTGGTCTAAGAGCAGTTGAACCTTCATTACATTTGTTATAAAATAAAGCAAATGTGTGTCAAGCGTCCGTCACAGGGGTTGGGATATGATCCATTTATTTACTGTAAACATTCGTACAAAAGTCAATTAAATAATAATGATTTCTGTTTACATGCCAACAGCACAGTTGTGGGTCTTAGTCCAAAACTGTACATTTGAAACCTGGTCTGTTTGTGTACAAATACCGTAATAACTATGTTACTGCAATTACTGAGATTTTTAATTTTTTTTTTCTGCAGAAAAATCTTTTCTCAACGTTGAGTCAATTTCTGCTCAAACAGCTTGATATCCAGAGCATCTGTCCAAAGAGGAATGGTGGATCACTTGCCGCTTGGTGAGGAGACCTTCCTGTACTACACCAGCTCGTCTGGGTCTAACTGCAGCTGCCTCTGTCGTCAGGCCAATGGTGGCGTGTCGCCAGGCATGATGGTAACTGATGCGTGCAGTTTTCATCACCACCACCACCACCACCACCACCACCCTTACCAAGGGTTGACAGTCTCCTCTCCTCACCTCTCGGAGGACGACCTCAGTGACTCTTCCAGCCCTCGTTCGTCCCTGTGCTCCAGCCCCGAGTCGTCATCGCCAGTTTCGCGGCACCTCCTGAGCTCCGCGCACAATGACAGGAGCAGCAGGAGCAGTGGGAGCTGTAGCTCCTCTTCAACAGGAGAAAGTCAAGACAGCCTGCTGGAGCTTCTCCTCTCACAGAACTCTCTTGCCAACTCAGTGAGCCATAGTTCAGGAAGCTGCAGCTCCTTGTCCTCTTCATCTTCCTCGCTGTACGCGCCACAGCCACTTGCCTCCGCTCTCGCCGCACCTCTTATACCAACGGGCCTTACCTGGGAGTCCAGGAGGGAGCAGCGGCTGAGTCTCCTCCAGCAACAATCCAAAGAGGACTGTTATGAGTTCCCCGTCTTCCTTGATGAGATGCAGGATCCTACGGCGCTCCTCTTTCAGCCCACGCTGGAGGAGATTGAGGAGTTCCTGGAGGAGAACATGATGGTGGCCATGCAGAAAGGAGAGGAGGGGAGTGATGAAGCAATGTCGCCAACATCGAAGGAAACATCAGAGGTGGAAGGTTCAAGGACAATAAAAGTAGATCTGGTGTCGATGCCACAGAACTCCGACCAAACTGTTCCGGTGGTTCCATCTCCGCTCTCATCCTTCTCAGAGACCAAACATTCACCATGTGCTTCAGACCTGGACAGCCCGCTGTCCACTGTGGATGCTAACTGTATAGCATCTTCCAGCTGTCAGATTGATGAGATCAAAGAGGAGGACTGTAGCCTCTCACCAGCCTCATCAGAAGGAGCCAGCGCTGCTTCTACTGTGCCTGTCATCCTACAGATCCAGCCCATACAGATTAAACAAGAGCCAAACTCTAGCACCATAACAGATGATGTCAATCATCAGGCCCAAACACAGAAAGCCCAGTCTCAGTCCCCTTCGGATATCAAAATTGCCCAGCTCCTGGTCAACATCCAGGGGCAGACCTTTGCTCTGGTGCCTCAGCTGCTTTCACCAGCCAATGTCAGCGGCTCCAATAAAACCAAAGGTGCTTCTTCATCCAAGTTTGTCAGGATAGCACCTGTTCCCATTGCTGCTAAACCCACCGGGCTCGGGGATGTTGGTATAGATGGAGGTTGTGCCGCCGGTGTCCTGGCTGGAGGACAGAGGTATCAGAAGAGTGCAGTGGCCGACCTGATTAAAATGCACAAGTGCTCTTTTCCTGGCTGTAATAAGATGTACACCAAAAGCAGTCATCTCAAAGCTCACCTGAGGAGGCACACAGGGGAGAAACCCTTCGCCTGCACATGGCCCGGCTGTGGATGGAGGTGAGCACTGTCATCATGTTAACTAACCCCACGTACACGTTTTTAAAAAGTCAATCGAAGCATCAAAAGACTGACTGTAGTAATATTCAAGGAAGTTAATCAATTAGCAACCTTTAACATACTTGGGTTTTAGGTTTTAATATATAAAAAAATCATGATCTGTAGCATGGGGGCCGAAATCTCGAGATGAGGCCAAAAAAAGTTACATAGCAATGAATTCAGTTCTAACATCCTCTACTGACATGTCATGAGAAAAGCCGTCTGCTCTTAATGTAGTGGTATTAAATTAATTGAATCTGCATGAAAACGCCTGTGTGGTAATGTGCCCGGAGCAGTTACAGACAGGCTTCCACTGTGATAGCAGTCAAACTGCACGTCTAATTACTTTGGTAACCTTTTAGACATAATCAAACAAGCAGTTTGGTTCTTAGTTAAAAGTTCTGTTTCAAAACCTAAGTCCTGCTGTCTATTATCTACTGGGAAAGATTTATAAAGTTTATACAACGCTAGAAATGACTGTTAAATGTACAATAAAGTTTTAACGAGATCTGTTACGACAGTTATTGACTGGGGATTAAGTGGTGGCTTATCTTTAGGAAGTTATACTTCAATCTGAAATAGTGACCATTTATTTGTACGCCAGACGCTGGCTGTGTGTCCCGCTATCTTAGTGTTGTTGTACCCTGGTAAAGTTTCAGATTAGATAGAAGGCTGTTTGAAGTTGCCATCAGACTTTGTACCCTGTTAGTTATTCCACTTGTTTGCTCACTGTCTGCCACCGCTTCACCTACGCATGCGTTTACGGGCCAACAGATCTGCTGGATTATCGCAGGATTACTTCTGTAAAGTTCCCAGCAGACAGATGACGCGGTACACCAATAATTTAATGCATTTCATGTACACTGTCAGTGCAAAGAGAACCTCTTTAAAAAGCCTTGGTCAAATGTCATCTTTTGACCTTATGGTCACTGGGCCTGTATATGGGGTGTATATGTAGGTATTAGCCAAGAATATATACGTGCGTGCAACAGTGGAGCGAAGATAGGGGGAGCAATATGTTGTCAAGGTCATATTATAGGAGTGAAAAGATAAGGGTTTGACTTTAGGTCAGATTCCCCTTGAATGATTGTATGATCACTGGGATTTAGCTGTGAAAAAGGAAAAAAACAATCCAACACAATAGACAGCGAAGAATTAGAAAAACTCTATGATCCATTGTTGGTGAAGTCTTTCTGGTCTGGATCTATGAAGACGTCTGCGTGAATCTGCTAATCCTACTCTAGATTTGTGCTGTCGTAACACTTTTATTGGTAACTAAAACCAGACTGTTTGACTTCAGTGTGTTTTATAGACCAACTTTCTGGATTTAGTTTGAAGCATTTTATAAAAGTCTGAAAAGTCAGAGCCGCACCTGCAGTCGTTTAAAGGCCCTCCACATCTGACACCTTTCTCTTTCACAGCGTGCTCTTTGTCTGGGCCTGTGTCCAAGTAATTGTGAGTACAGTAAGTTACGTAATCTCCATTCGTTTAGGCACGAGGAGAGACTGAAGGAAGGAGAGTTTAATGAGTTCCTGTGTATTTTGCAGTGAGATGTGAGCAAAACAAGTTTGAATGTTTTTGTTAAAACCTGGTTTATTTGTTGCACATGTTTCCCCCTGGACTGCCTGAGAAACTGCTTTTGTTCTGAAAGGCAAAGAATCAGTTCAGCACTTTGGGAGGTAATGGGATAATGAGAGGATCGGTGATGTATTTTGGTCTTCTCTAAAATAAGGTTGGCACTGACGGAACTCAACACTTCTGGCACTGGCGGAGCAATTGACCACAAAGATCCTGATGTATAACAGCTTCCTCTTTGTGTGAAGATAAAAATCATATTATTTGAAAAATGACAGAGGACATGTTTTATTAAAAAAAAAAAAGCATAAATAACCAAATAAGCAGTATTATCTACAACATTGTTCCCCAAAGACTGGATCGTGACCCTCAGGATGGTCGCAAGAGATTATTTTTGGGTCATCTTGCATCATGTTTCCCAGGAGTTTATGAATAATGTCTATTGACTTGGGACACAAAGGTTTGTGACTTTTAAAATATGGTTCCCCAGAAAAAAAAAGTTAGAGAAACACTGGTCTAGAACGCCAACATACAGTCCTAGTTAGTTCAAACTAACATTGACAAGTTTATACAAAGCCTGTAAATCATGTAGAAGGAACTACATTTTTTTATACTGAGAAACACTTATAACAGTTATTGCAGTATTCCACTGGATTAGGATTATGTTGGTTTGTATTGGGATCAGATGGACCGCCATTTCCACAGAGTCGCTGTGTGATTTTACTTGAAGCTGTTTCTATTTTGTCAAATTCTGGCTGATGGTCGTTTAATAATTTAGTGTCAGTTCAGCAGCTGCTTTACTGCAGCGGCCTTTATCAGACAGTGTTCCTCCGACAGGATGCAGCCACTGAGACAGTAACAGTAAACACAGACAGATGTCTCATCCACTCAACATTTAGTTCTGTTGCAGATGTTAATAAATCCAACAGGTCTACTGTTTATACAGACCTGTATGAACATAAAACGCATACGGTCCCAGTCATTCGCCTTGTGTGATTCGACAACAGACATTAATGAACAGCAATAAATCGTATTGCGTAGATACGAGTCTACAAAATCTTGCAAAAGTTGCTTACTTGTAACATGGAAAACTTGTATTTCGGGGTGCTCATATCTAGGTTTTTATCATTGTACTTGGTATTTTATTGTCAAATCCAAACATGTTTGCTGCCAGTGGATTGTAATTTTGATGTATTTTTTTTTTTTATCAAAGAGCTGTAAGTATCTCTCAGATGAGGCACACAGTGACGCTTTTTTTTTCCTCACACCAGTCTAAAACCTCATGCTCCCACCTCTGCCCAAACTGCCCCTCTGTAGCCCTCACATAAGGGTGACAATAAAGTGTGTTATAAGCTGCCCCTTCCTCTCTCCTCTCCCAGTGGGTCAGGAAACGGAGGTGAGCTCTGGGAGTGAGGAGCCCATTACCCTCTGTAACCTTAGATGCATGTGTTGGCTCCTCTGGAGCACAGAGCCGTTCATTGGCCCGACTCCTGCTAACCCTGGTTTTCTTCCTCTGCTCAAGTGTTTTCTTTTCTTATCTCTCGCTGTGCTTCGTAGCAGTCATTTTTTTTGTACCAGCACTGAGTCACATGGAAAGAAGAACACACGCACACATCAACACACACCTATTTTCTGGTCCGACCTGCATTGAGACATGGATGAAAAGGATCAAACGCCAACAGTTTACTGTGAAAACACGGCTGATGTGTTTACCTGCTGCCTGTCATCAGGGCAGCGGATTATTGTACGTTGTCGGCTGATGGTCATTGTGACAGTGACATGGTGTCAGTGGGTGGTGACAGACATGTCGGGCTTGGCTTCAGTTTGTCTTTCCATCGGGCATTTCAGGGCAAGCAAGTTTGTATCGTTACATGTGCGGTATCACAGAACTTAACTTCGTTTAAATTTCTGGTTCTGTTGGGATATTTGTTTTTTAACCACAAATATTTCAGCTCTTTGTTTCTGTTCGACAGTAGGTGTTGATACTGCGTTGCTAGCAACAAACAAGAAAGTAATGTTTAATTACAAAAAGCAAAACAACTTGTGTTTTTCTTTATCCTTTGTCAGAATTATTTGTCAATAATCTTACACTATCTCCCCCAGTCGTAAACACAGTAAACAACATACCAGTCCAGCACTAAGGCTCAGTAATAGGTGACATGCTGATTGTGCTACATGTTTTTTCCCACTCAGATGCTTGAAAACGTCTACGTGTGCAGATGATAATGTTTAATGATGTTTATTTCCAGGGATTTTCTAAAATGTTTGTGGCCACCAGGGCCTGAATTCTTTACATTTTTCCCTCATTTATATTTTTCAGCAGCTGCTTAATAATCCATTCCATTTTCTCTTGATGAATCAGTCAGTACGATGTGATCTGTTGTGTTTTTGACTCGTGGCATTCTCCCCCATCATTTTCACGTCACGGCCTCCCCCTGCGACTGAAAGTTTTGCGTCAAATACGTGTTGAATTATGTTCCTGTTATTAAAATGTCAGCCTCCAAAGATGCCTGGTTGAAAATATGCTTTATTACGACTATAATAGTTTGAAAACTCTATTGAGGCATGCCGCCGTTTGAACATTGGCGGTGTCAGACCAGGATGGATTAAGAAGGTACGTGTTGTACCAGATTTGATCTCTTAGAAAATGTACTATCGCTCCAAACACTGAACTCGTCAACATGGGAAAAACAAATGCCTTGGTGGAGCGACGCAGGATCTGGTTCCAAAATCCATTTTGTAAAAAAAAAAAGTCACTAAAATTTTTATGGTTGCATGTTTGAAAGCTTTGAATGAATGATTCAGACTTCTGTCACTGATTAGTGCAGTCATGCATAGATGTTGTTTTTTCTTCAAATAAGCACGCACTTGAGCACAAATGTCAAACTCAAGGCCTGTAAGCCTAGTCTGGTCCACCACATCATTTTATGTGGCCCACCAGTGCTCAGAGCTCAGTCTACAGTAGATGATGTTTACTGAAGGGGAGAAATGCACTGGTCAAATTACATCCATGTGCACCCAAAGTAATTTACAATTTTTATTTTCTAATTTTATATTTATTTTACTGAGGAAAACGTCAAGAGTCATCAAGTACAATCATTGTCAGCTCTAGACTAGGGATCGCTCGATCCAATAATCAGGATCCGTATTGGTCCAATATTGGTCAAAATTTCAGGATCGGATACTGCAAAAAACGCCCTTCAGTGATCGTGTTCGATGCCACTTCAGACTGGGCTCCACACAAACACAAATGACTAAGAAAAAGAAAAAGTGAACTCTTTCCATAAATTTTACAGGTGTGTGACCAACCTTCTCGCTCCGCCTTTCAGGTGGTTTTAACTATTCAGTGTTGACTGTGGAGCAGAACTTGGGGACAAGCTGGAACAAAACCTGTGTGTGTGTTTCCCACAGAGCCCGCGCTAGCATGTATACTGAAGTGTGTGTGGTGCAGCAGCCACACCAAACTGCCCTGAGGACTTTTTAAGTGTAAAACCCCACAGTGCTCATGTAAAAAAAAAAAAACACACTCTTGTGATTAACACCACTCTTCTCCTCCAGCCTTAGTGTTGAACTTGATGACCTCAGCCAAATACGCTGCAGCAAACAGCAACAAAGGAGAAAATTGAAAAAACTGAAAAACTGTCACACTTGCTCTTGATCAAAGTGTTCTGAATTTGGCAAGATTTGTTTTGTTTTTGGAGTTGATGAACAATAATGCCGTCTGTTTGAATAGCACTGAATGAGTGTTCTGCTGAAAGATTTCCCCACCCTGACAGTATGTTGTAGTTGGGCTCAAGCCGACTTTGAATCAGAAGAAAAACTGTACATGGCATCGATCAAGCCACAGCTTGACTCTGATGCAGTTCACCTTCAGGCTGTAGTTACTGTAAGCAACAAACATGTTCCCACCTGTAGTACACCAGCTCACATGTAGATGCTGATTGTTTAATAATATTAATAATAATTATATACTGTGTATATATATATATATATATCTTCTCTGGTGTTGTACATTATTAAGTCTTAAAAAATGTATGGTGTAATATAATCCAACACAGACTCAGTGTTTTACCACCTGGAGTAAACAGATCATGTTTATGAATCTTTCTGATATTCAGTTAAAGATTCTGCAGAAATCTCTTTCTTGAGAAACCGGGAAGCCTAATCTGAGTCATAGTGTCAGATTCCGTACAAAGCACGTAAAAGCTTTTTCGTCATCATTCTTTGTCCATTATTTCATCTATTTCTTCTCAGGGCATATAAACCTCCACTTTTTGAAATGTCAATTCTATGAAAAATTTGAATTAATAAAAGTTAAGATCAACATCCTAGAATCTTATTAAAAGCCCTTCAGTTGCATTTGGATGTGGTGCTATATTGGATTACTGTCCTGCTGGGATGTGAAATGTCAGCAGTGGTTTTCATGCACATGGGCAGTAAAAAAACATTGGTTAGCCCTGAATGTAAATGCACAGACGGACACAGTTTATATTTGAGTCTTCTTCATAAATCACTGACTCTGTATTTTAATTTTAGAGATGAAACCATAAACCTGGTCCTACTGACTCTGTATTTTAATTTTAGAGATTCTTTTAGAGAGTCTTGGCATTCCTTCAGACTTTTGTTTCTGCCTTCAGGTTGATCTGAGGCATTTGTACGAATGTGTGTAGACGGCCGTGCGCTCCTGATGTTGTTCATGTCGCCTGACAAAGACATCATTCTGACTGACAAATGTAGTGGTGACTAACATACATGGGTGTTTTTCTATCTGTTGTTTACAGTGTTCCTCTACTGTAAATCTCAACAAACAAGAAAAATGCAACTGTATCTCGATAATTAACAGAATTATACAAAGCAGGAATAGGAAACATCTGAAAAGCATTCTGGGATGTTTCACCTTCTCTCCAAAGCGTTGTTGTTGTCCTCGGACAAGGTAAAAACATTTAGATCGGTAAGAACAAGTTGTGCTAACAAAGTCTGTCTTATCTGAGCGCATGGAAAGCTCAGTGTAGAAATCTTACTGCATCTTCAATCTGTCAATCTGTCGTCTTAAATTTACCAATGATCACAGTCCAAACCCATGATCCATTAGCTACTGTAAATATTCTGAACCTCTAGATTTTAGTGATAATGAGTACAGAGTCCAACAATGAGAGGTTTCATATAGAAGAGTCATATAAGTGTTTTTAACAGGGCACAGGAATGAGCAAGAAATCTCATTTGAGACATTATGAAAAGTTGTACTATTTGTACTATTTCATGCTACAGTTGTGAAACCGCTGGATCAGGATACTTTAAGCCTACACATCCTCAAGGGTTCTCGGCTCCTTACATTCCACCGCTTAGTAGTAAGAGCGTGTCAGTTATATTCCTTTTCTATGGGCCCATTAAAATGATGAATAGGCCGGTTGTGTAATCCTTGTCAAGAGTGGAAATGCTACGACATAACTCCGGGTGACGCCGTTGCATCTCGTTGAATTATCACCCTGGTGTCTGCAACTGGAAAATGAGCCCAGAAATCAACCAGAGCTATGGATGACACAAGTGATTTTTAACAGGTTTACTAGCTGTACACAAAAATACACCGACACATGTAGGACAGGCACCAGTCTGTCATCGGTTTAACCCCGGCAGTCGTGATATCTAAGCTGGACACACAGCAGAACGGGACAGGAATAGACTGGACATATGTGTGAAGCTAAATATGAGACGGTGATTTGACTTCACACAGACAAAGGACAAAATGTATGTGTGGTGTCAGAACACCAGGATTACTATGTCATAAAATAGTGTCACACAGGCCTTGTTTGGTTTGACAGTTCAGGGCATGACTTTGTTCTGTTTACTGAAGAAAAAATAAACACTCCGGTCAGTTTGGAAGATTAGGGCAGAAAAACCTTGTAAGGTGTTTATTATCATTCAAATCCCCAATTCTCTCCTTGACAGGTTCTCCCGTTCCGACGAGCTGTCCCGACACCGCCGCTCTCACTCGGGAGTGAAACCGTACCAGTGCATCGTATGCGAGAAGAAGTTTGCTCGCAGTGATCACCTGTCGAAACACCTCAAAGTCCACCGCTTTCCACGAAGCAGCAGGACAGGCCGCTCTGCAAACTGACCCCCGCGACCCGCTCTGACAGACTGGTGCAAAGCAGGAGGAGGGGGTAGTGAAGGTGTGTGTGTGTGTGTGTGTGTGTGTGCGTGTGTGTGTGTGTGTGATCGAGGAAAGATGGAGGCGAGGGGTCCAAACTCCCTAACTCCCTTTAAAGGAGTGTGTGTTGAAGAGGCCTTTTTTGCTAGTGTGTGTGCGTGTGTGTGTGTGTTCAGATGCGAACGCTTGACGAACATTCATGGTACTGTGATAATTTATTGGGTGGTGAGGAAAAGACTGTAAAAAGCTGAACTAAAGCAGAAAACTGTTACTTGACCTAACACCCTCACAGGTGGAATAAGCTTCTTGTATATTACAATGTTTATTTTTCTCACTTAAATCATTAATCAAACTAGAAGAGGAGAAATTGCTTTTCAGTGGCCTTTTTTTTTTTTTTTTTTGGAAACACACTCAGTGTATGTGTGTCATGTGAGTCAAAAGCCATGTGTTAATACACAGTAATGTCCTAAGAATCCAGGCGGTTTGGGAAACTGTTTGTTGTTGGAAAGCAATATGAGAAAAAAAGTCTCAGCGAATTTATACTGAATTTATTTT